CAATCACAGAAAAATAATATATGCAGAGTTAGTATGGTTTTTTTCCAAATGACTTCCTTCTTCATTAGTGCTCCTGGGAAGGAGAAGTGGAATACAGTTTTAAAGCATGAGGAAATGCCAGGCAGTCAGAGGGAATGCATGTTGATCAGGCTGCAGTTCTGTGACATGGTTCCTAATGAGCAGAAATCAACATCCATTACTTCAGCTTGCCAGATCAATCCCCACTCTTCTGCTTGCTCTCTAACCACTCCTTCAAAAGCATTTATAAACTCCAGGCTGCTGGAGACTCACAGGCTTCACACAACCACAAAAGCATATACGCAAGCACATATGCATAAAGAGACACAAAATGATAACTGTTCCCCTCTGTCATTTAATGCTTGTAATTTAGAAGAGATTATTCATGTTGGTTTTGCTTTGACAGAAGAGCAGTGGATTTTTCTGAAATGTACTTTCCCAGTTCAGAAGGTTAAGAACAATTCCGTGCCTGTAGGGCTAAAAAAAAAACACACAACACAGAGAACAAGAAAGAGAGGGGGGGAAAAAAGAAAAAAGAAAATCTCCATCCATGTCTGGATTTCACAGGGACGGTTCCAGCAGCCTCATTCCTCCCTCCTTCCCTTCCTCCCTTCTTGCTTCCCCCACCCCTTTGTGTGCTAGAGTTACAATCCAAGGGCTTGGAGACATTTCAAAGGAGCGTCACTAATGAAGACCACATGTGCGCTGCTCCTCTTGAGCTCAGAACAAAGCTGAACTGTAAGAGCCTTCTCTCTGCTGGGGGAAAAGCAGGTCTGCCCCCCTCCCCAATTACCCACCCACAGGTTATGAATGAGGCTCACTCAGGTAACTGCCAGTTGGTATCAGAGCAGTTTGAGGAGGAAATAAATCATTTTTCCAACAGAAAGCTGTAAGGCAGTGAATGTGTGCTTCCTTTGCCAAAACATCAGTGGCAGCACCAAAACACCCCCACATTCAACAGCACTGCAGCTCTTGGTCCTTGTTCATGCACAGCAGCAGCACATTCACTGTAGGATTTCTTTGTTTGCTTTTGGGACACTTCCTCTGCATTGTCTCTGGAGCTGCATTAGGGCAGGTTTGTACAAGGAGGTGGGACACGGCAGAGCCTGGTTTCTGAGCTACGTCATCTGAGGAGGATGCTGGAGCACGTCATTTCCCATCTCTGTTCACAACTAATCACGCTTCAGGAAGGACTCTCACCAAATAATGGATAGTGGATCCAGTGGTGGTTTTATCAGGAAAAAAAAAAAATAAAAAAAAAAAAAGAGAAGAAAAAGGAAACCATTGCCTGTAGGTTTTCAATTTCACATGTATTTGGTGCTCTTTCCAACAGTGTTTGCAACTCAATGTCAGTGGCTGTAGAGCCCAGGCAGGGGGCCAGGTGAGGCAAGCAGTTGAGGGCTCACTCTATGAGAACTTTAGCAAGGAGCAAAACAAATGCAATTTGCAATTTGCAAGCTCCTCCTGCAAGGAGCTCCCAGTGCCCTTGTTCCCTGGGTGTGGTTAACATCAGTACTGCAGGGTACTGGAAGATGGAAAAGGTGGTTCAGCCCCATCTCTTCGCAGCTCCTTCTTCTGGAAGAAGGTGGGACATTGGTGGGAAATGTGACAGATTTTGATGACTGCCATGATATCAGAGAATGGGATGTGTTATTGGGCTACTGAAGTGTCTTCCTTCTCATGAGGCCTTCCAGCAGATGGGAGGGGGTTAATCATCAGGCCCCAAAAAGGGCTGAATAGTCTGCTAAGGGGAAGGGAAAGGTCAATTGTGTGAGGGGACCAGACAACTGAGGGGGCTTAGAAACATGGCATATATATTTTAGGTTTGTTTCCTAGCAAGAATTAGTCTGATGCAGTCTTGCTTTCTATGTGCAGGTGTGCTTCATGCTCAAATCCATTGGCCAAGTTCAGCTAGCAGAAATAACCCACAGCTACTGATTTTCTACAACTTTCATTAAAATACGCAATGGAAAACCATTTCTTAACTCTGTCAATCACAAAACTTTCTGGCATAAAGAGAAGGCAGCAGTAGTAGGTAAGGATATGTTAGGACACAAAGAAGATGGCCAGAAGATACCTACCTACCTACACCCTTACACACTCATGGTGAGGCTCTAGGTGACTGATCATAGAGCAAGACGAAGACACCCATGGGTCCAGACACAGTGGCAGCCCTCATGGACACAGCCCTGCTGCTGAGCACTGTGATGAAATAAACAACTGTGAAGAACAAATGAAATAAGAAATAAGTATGAACAACATGAAAGGCGATGTACAGTTGTGGTTGCTGCTAAACCCGTACCTATTTTCTGACAGGAAGCTCTTCCGGCAGAACTGCCTCTCGGAGCCATTTCTGGTTTCCAACAGTATAGGCATTTGTTTCTATAACAAATGTATTTCTGTGGATGAAGCTTAGTATTAAAAATAAATGGGAAGCGGGAAGTAGGTTCTATGGAAGGGTAACTGCAGAGGAAGAGAAGTGACCTCTGTGTGTTGGTGATTGAGACAAAAAATAGTGGAAGCATTTGAAAGATCATAGGACTTTTTATATAATCACTTCTAAGTAGGGGATTAAACCATGGTATATATATAGAAGAAGACATAGTCTGAGGATGGTTGTTTGTTCGTAAGTGATCTAGGGTTAACAAAGCATTCCAGGGTTTTATGAAAGCAGTTTTAAACAAATAAACATTATCCTGCAGTATTTACAAGCTAAGCACTTCAACATTATCTCCATGCATGAGAACCTGAGAGGAAAATTGATTGAAACCCCATGATAAACTGCTTTGTTTAATTGCCTAACCTCATGGCAGCAGAGAAATGCAGATACAACAAATACCGAAAAAAAAAAAAAGTCAAATCTGAAAGTGCTAATGCATTTCATCACCCAAAGTGCAGTTTGTTAATCAATGTGGAGCACCTAAAATATTTATGCCTCAGGAGTTTGCCTTTAAAGTGATATCTGGAGGCTTTTTTCTTGAATAATATCAAAATGAGTGAGGCTTCTTTTTCCAATGTGAGGTGACATTATCAGTGCAGAAGTAGGATTTCTGTAGCCCTCAGGCGGTTCTTTGAAGCCTCCCCGGGCTGTGGTCTGTTCACCAAATAAGCATCCCAAACACTGCTGCTGCTTCTGGATTCCTCTTCTCCCCATCATTTTTTTTAATTTTTTATTTTTTCCCCTGAGTATTTTGTTTGCCTTCCAAACACATCGTGAGGTCCACAGATCTAAACTAGCTGTGGTTTCATTCAGTGCTGATAAAATTAGACTGAGCAAAGCAGGGCCATGTTTCTGGGGAAAGGAGAAGACAGCTCTGGGTTTTTTTCATGAACAGGAGAGCAACAGGGAACTACCCTGGCGTCCTTCTTACCTGGCCAAAAAGGATGGCCCAGCCTCCATGACCACTTCACTCTGGGTGCAGGAGTGCTGTCACATGGCCCAGCCCACCAGAGTCAGGCCTTTTTCCTGGTTTTCCTCACTCTGAATTCATTACCACCATCTCCATGAAGAAATTCTTCCTAATGTCCAATCTAACATCCTTCACCCCTCCTCTTCCCCCACCCCTCCCATGACTTGAGACTGTTTCCTTGCATCCTCTCACTTGTCTTCAAAGAGACTGACACCCTTCTTGCTGCAATCTCCTTCCAGTAAAAGGAGCTTTACTCCAAATTCCAAATGGCTTCTTTGGATATTTTCATTTCATAACAGATGTTGCCCTCACCGCTAAACTCCTCCCTAACCTCTAATGCTCACCTCATCGGCCTGGTTTCCACAGCCAGCCGAGGCTGGGGCAATGTCACCTCTGTGAGGCCAACTCCAGCCACAACTGTGTTGGCAGCCAAATGATCTGGGCACCAAGCCCCAGAAGCATAACCCCAGCATGGATTACCAACTGTGCCCCACGTCCTCTGGGTCAGTTTATAAAGAGGAATGGACAAGACACTGACTGACTTCACATTTTGTTGGGCTGGTGTCAAAACTAACCTTTTTTCCAAAGAATGTTGTAGACAAATTAGCAGTGATGCTATTGGGTGTTGGCAACCTCTCTCCCTTTGCCTACATCATGAGCATTGCTCTGCACAGATGTAGATGCCAGTGTAATGCACATATGTAAATGAATTTCCCATACCCACAGTAGATACAAGCACAGATACATGTGTGGCAGTAGGCAGGCTTGTTTGAAAGTATCTGTTTGCAAAGGGGGAGAGCTAATCGCATAAAATACCCAAGAAGAACAGTACCCTTCCATTTTGCTCCTGCAAGAGCATTGTGCAGGATCTGTGAAGTGAGAAAGCATTTCACATCTTTAAAGACAAATATTCTCACAGCAGTATCAGCTGTGGCTGATTTGTACAGCAGTAAGGTTTTCTTTAAGTGAAGATTAGCGCTGAAGCTGCAGTATTTGTTTTATAGCATCATAACCCATTTTTCAGGAAATTCTCCCCATCTCTTGCCTCATAAACTGTCAATAGCGTTCCCCTATCTCTTTAAAACATGGTACTGACTCAGTATGTTTGGAGACAGAAAGCTATTTTGACTTACAGGTTCAATTCCTGTTGACTGAAAAGGGAAGAAGAAAATGCAGAGCCCGAGAATGAAAACATGTCTTATTCCAGAAGCAAATGGCATTAAGGAATGGATGGCATTTGTTCACAAACTTTTAAAAATATTTTTCCCAGCTAAGGTTTAGCTCTGCATGTATTTTCTAGCACATGCTTCCGTAAAGAGAAATTAATCTGGATGCACTCTTTGTTTCAGCAGCTCTATGAAGCAGCTTTCTTCTTGGCTGGGATCTCAGTAGGGGGCCTGAGCAAGGCTTGTATGTCCTACTATCCTCAATGAGACACTTACAGGTTCTCTGTCATCAAAGCAAGTGTAGCTATCACTTCATCACCCATTTAGCCAAAAGGGGAATACAGTTGTGCTTTCAGGGATGCTAATTTATTTATTTATTTATTTGTTTGTTTGTTTGTTTTCCCAGCAAGCTACGGTTTTCACAGTTCAGATCAGCAGACTTCACAATCTTCCACATCACAGATCTGTGTAAGTATCAGGGAAAATGTGAAGGGGAAAGTGCTGCTCAGATACAACAGGGAAACCGTTAGTGGTCATCACTGTGGGGCAGACCAAGGTAATGCTAATAAAACAGGGAACTCTGAGAAAGAGGCAGACAAATGGGTTGGATACATCAAGATATTTCTCCTCCCATCATCACACTGTTTCAGCATTTCAGTTCTGGAGATATTTCTGCTGAAGGTCATAGGAGCACAGCGCTGGGAAAAGTTATCTGGTTCTCTTCTCTCAATCTATTATGTCTTTCCTGTGTCTGGGCCTCTCATGGATGACAGCATGTAAGAGAAAATAGAAAGTCCCACATTTTCCCATCCAAGAGGAGGCTTTCTTAGTGAGGGCCTGGCCACCCAGGCCTGTCTGTTCCCAATGCCCTGCAGTGGCAGTCACTTGTCACTCTTCTGCAGGGGCCCTCCCCGTGCAGATTTCCATCTCATGCCTGAACGTGCCAGAAATGCTTCACAGTGTGACTGCTCCTTCCTACCTCCTCAGCAGAAAAACTCATCTCCAGGGAGACGGGAGTTTCATGCGTGACACTTTATCTGTCTTCCAGCAGCCTTTGGGCAGTGATTACCAAGGATATCAAATGCCCTCTCTGATGCAAGTACTTTCATTGGTTTTCCACCCTCTAACGCTGAGTTTGTGAAGGAATTCAGCTCTTCATGCAGCATCTCCACAAACATGGAAAATGAAGAGTTTTGATCAAACAAGGGATTTCAAGCTGTAGGCCACACCCTGTGCTGTGAATGGTCTTTTAAGCCTGAAAAAATGCATATTGAGGTGGTCGTCTTGAACAGAAACTGCACCGTACATTTTCCATCTTGGTTGGTGATGATCGTACTTGAGATATTAAATTGCACATGGGGGGTGGGAGACTGGGGGAGTTGGGGAGCTGTCAGGCCAGCTCCCTGACAGAAGTAAGGAGATGCTAGAGGGGTTGCCAGGTGAAGACCAAACCTACCAAAAATGCCAGAGAGGGACCCTCCCCAGGCCTTTCCCCATGGGCAGGGGCTGCATAAGGTGGGATAGGCATGTAGACACAAAAGGAGGGCAGGTCTGGCTGTGCTCACAGCAGCATTGGAGCAGCCTGGTGTGGTTGAGGTGAACCCTGGAAAAGCAGCCATGTTTTAAATGATCTGAGGCTCACTCTTACCAAGTATTAAGAGATTTCCTACAAGCACTGGAGCTGATCTGGGGATTTCTTTAGCAGCTGCTTATTTAAGAATCAGCCATTGTCCTTCCTTAATCTGAATTCAGATCAAGCCAGCCAGTAATGTTTCTGCTACCATCATTAAATGTCTTATTTTTAATTCATTTGCAGCAAGGTAACATATACAATGAATATGGGGTCATAGCACAGCCTTGACACTGAATTGTGAAGAACACAGGATTTCTTTATTGAGCATATCAAGCAAGGGATTCTTGCAGTGCATTGCTACAGGTATAAAGGGAAGGTGCATTAATTTCAGCAGTTGGGAGATCTTTTTAAAGTTGGTTTTCTTGCCCATCTTTTTGTCCAGATTCTCATACCTCTTTACAACTATTTTCAGAAAAAAATGAAAAAAAAAATGAAAAAAAAAGAAGAGTAGACGCTGCAGAGTCTGAATCTGTATAAGGTCAGCTGTGCTTGCTAGAGTGTAATTTTCACTTATTAATGTGAATAGAAGACAGCTATAAGTCTGCAGCTAAATTTAAATTTAGGTGTTGGAGCAATATAATTGCTACTTTGAATTGTATGATATTGCTTTAAAATTAATGATTATTAAAGATTACTTGTTCTGTGTTTTTGTTTGTTTGTTTGTTTTACTTTGTTTAGGTTTCTTTTAAAGAGCAGGTTCCATTACATTTCTAAGTACAATAACCTAAGACCATGTCAACAAACTGTGTAACTACAGACATTTCCATCCTAGCACAGAACATAACTTAGCCTGAACTCTAAGATTATGAATTTTAAGGGAAAATAAGTGTTTTCTTCAAATACCCCTAGGAGGATGGCAACAGGGGGAGAAGGATTATGTTTATTGTTTGTAATTAACTACATCACAGTTGAAAGTTAATTTTGATTTAGATAAACCACCCACTGAATATCAAGTTACTTCTCAAGATTCTCACCCCTTTCAGAGCCTATCTGTCTCTGTGGGTCTTGAGACTAACTGCTGTTAAGCCTCTCTACTTGTAACAGGTGGTTCTGGCTAAAAGTCTAACAACCCTGGTGCTACAGGGTGGGGCAAGATATATTTTTGCTATTTATATGAGATAAGAAGTTGTAAGTCTGATCCAGGCCCATGTTTGGATTGCCTAAGAAAAGGTCCTTTTGAGTGTAGGGCATGTATTCTGGTGTAGAAAGAAATGAAAAAGTGAAACATTACCACACACTTGTCGTCATGAAGAAATGTTTGCATTGCAGATCCCTAGTAAGAAGTGATAAATTCTTCAGCATGCAAAGACTAAGCATATAACAGAACAAACTTCTCTGAGGACCCTGTGCATTTGAAGTGGTAAAAGCTGTGATTTCAATGCTGTGATTGCAGATGTGTGTGTAAAGAAATACTGAACATGGAAGATCTATGCTCCATGACAAATGGTAGCTGTGGTTGTGTCTTTCCTTTGGGACAAGGCAGAAGAATGATGACTCCTCATATTCACTGTACTTTGCTTAGGCTAATTACTAGGAACTACATGAATTTGCAATGAATTTGCAATAAATAATTTATCCAACATACCGAAGTCTCATTTTATATTCACTTAGAGCATTATATCTGCAAACAAATGAAGGACTTAACAACCATGCACAAACCTTTGAAACTAGGTGTGGTTTGGGACCCTGACTCTGAATCTCAAGACCCTCCCAAAACTCCAGTGGCTGCTGAGCTAGGATCAGAAGTGTGTGCTGACAGGCCTGACTCCCCCTACCCTGGGATGTATGGGGTCACCTAAACCTTCTGGCTTCTCAAATAGCTCAGCTTAGCCTGAGACATGAGTTCGCAGAGTTTAGCATTAGTTCTCTGTGGACACTTTGTCCAGGGTGGGTGAGTCAGCTGACTTAATAAAAAAAAAGGTGCAAAAAGCATTTTCTTCAAACTGAGGATTTCTCCACTCCTAAGGAAACACAGTCAGCAGGACTGAGACTGTGTCCCCCCTGCATCAGTCAGGCTGAGGACAAGGCCCTTGATCTCATAAAAAGGCAGTTAATGTTATCCATTAAACTAAAAACAAGCTCAGCTGGGGACTTCAGACGGTGACTTAACTTCCTCTTCTCCATTCTGCATCTAGACAGCATTAAATAGACTCATTGTACCCATAAGCATTTTCTAAACAGATGCATTAGGTACTATCTTCATGATGACCTTTTAAAGCAGAACAAAAACCTTATGAAATCATAATTTGTCACTTGCAATAACCAAAAGCTGGGTAAAAGCCCAGCTTGTGGGAGGCTAGTTTGATGAATGAGAGCAGAACAGTGATGATGGCACAGGAAATGGCTCCATTTCAGTGGTACAAACTGCTTGGTCGCCCTTTGCCATTAATGTTGCATCTGCACTGTACTCTCCCCTGGTGGGTACCATTTGAACACCATATGTGATTTGGGGCCTGTCAAGGCTTGGTCTTAACTCCAACCAGTCAGGCTGGACTCTGCAAACACTACAAGGATGTCACAGAAGTTTTTTAGGCAGTGCTCATGAGTGAGCACACTGTCCTTATGCTTTATCCCAGCACTGTTGCAGAAGTGAGGGCTATCACTTAGAGAAAGGTCTGTAGAATAACAACCCTGGAGAAAGTGCTAAATAAGATAGTCAGTGCAAATAAATGATGCCAGAAGAAATAACATTGCCTGGATTTAGGGCAAGTCCAACATGCAATGAACTGGCAGTTGCTCCATCCATATGGATTGATCTGTGATTTGGGTGGCAAGTGGAAATGGTGCGGTGTTGTCCTTTGAGTGTGCTGGCTGACTTCAAAGCTGTGCCAAGAAATATTACGTCTCTTCAGATGACACAGTTACACACCCTAGCCTGACAGAGCTCAGAGGAGTCTTCCTCAGGGATTTCCATGGTGTGTGGGAGCAGGGAGTCTCCGTGCAGTCTATGGAGTCCCCAAGCCCCCACTTTCTATAAAGAAAATATTGGAGGCTGTGTTGGGCAGGTTGGCCTCTTCCCATGCATTTTCCATGGGGCAAAGGTGATGTAGGGTGCAGCATGTAGCTGACGTTCATGGCCTACCCTCTTGAATCAGAATTAACTTCTTATTCAAGGTCTGATTTAAAGTGTGACGAAAAAAAAAAAAAGAAAAAAAAAAAAAAAAGGAAAAAGCCGAGTCAGAAGCAATCTCTTCCTCCCTCCCCGTTTTCTCCGTGCAGGCGATACCTGTTTGCATGCAAATGTGAGTGCTGCAGCAGCTCAGGAGAGCGGGCGAAAGCTGCCTGCCCCAGTGGCCCAGACAGCAACATTCCTCCAGACCCAGGGACGAGGGTGGGGCTGAAGCAGCCAAGGGAAGAAAATGTCAACATCTGTCTGTCACTGCACGGCAAATGGCCAATTATCATTTTTTTTCTGCCTTTCTAAGCTCCAGGCAGACAAAGCCGCCGAGCTGGAGGCTTTGTTGCCTGCACCATTTCCCACCACCGCTCCACCTCTGATATGCTAATAGCAAAACTGAACGGTTTTGTGCAGCTCAAAAGGATCTTTGGGCACATTCACTGGGTCAACAATCCCAACTGCTGTGCAGGGGCTCAGCCTGCTGCGCAAGAAACCCGGTGCCAAGGGATGTCCCATGTCCCTCCCCCACGCTCCTCCTTTTTTTTTTTTTTTTATTAAAAAAAAAAAAAAAAAAAAAAAGTGGAATTAACCATCTGTCTGTCTTGGTGCCCAGAAGCCTAGCTGAACAAATTGTGACATGATATACTCCTATTGGATACTTTCTGGGCTGGCATGTGATAAGCTGGGTTGGGCTCTCCAGTGCAAATCCCTGCCCCACTTAAATGTAGCTCGATGCCCCCTCTCCGCTTCGGGGCACCGGCCACCTCTCAGCAGCTGAGCAGCTAGGTGGTGCAGAAATACTTCTGCGTTTGTACAGATGCGCTGCATGCATGAGAGCAAAAGTAACACTGACAAACAGTCTTTTGTTTAGGAAATAAACCCTGTCATACATGCAATGTTCGGCGCAGAAAGCCAACTTGATGACCTAATCCTGTTTATTGTGTAGGGGTAGTAAGGCACTTAGGTAATAATTCTAGATCTGGTTGAAGAATAATTGCAGGTGGCTTGTTGGGTGGCTAGTTTCCCATTCACTGATGCTGTAGAAGTGCCAGGGGAATTGAGCTGTAGGGCAATGGAAGACAAGGTGCTCGTAGATCTGTGACAGATTTTGGAGTATTTGTTTTCCATAGTTAGTCACCTGAACTAAGTGTGAACTTTATGAATGGCATACCACTCCTTTTGCTGATGCTCTGCTAATACCATGATCACTTTATTGAAGAAAAAGCAAGTTGGCAAGTACTGCAACTGTAAAATCCGAAGCAGTTTTGTGAGCAAGCAAATGTATTTAAGTTTGGTAATATACCGTCATTACTCAAACCAACTATGACACATACAAGCACATCTACTGCAAGCACCCTATAAAAGCTGCTGGACTTAAGGCCCAATGACATGAAATAAAAGCTGAATAAACAAAGCAGTTAAATAGTTCAATGGCTTCCAGTTGACCCTGAGCAGAGATCTGTGTAAAGCTGGATGAATACTGCAGCCAAGAGAAAGGAGACAGTTGTGTGTGGTGTTTATGAGCCGCAGTTCTAATGTAGCCTGCATGATAAACAGTGCTGTAATAACAGCTGACCTCTGCCATAACTTGCTTTCTTCTCCTCTTAGATCCTGCTCGTGGGCAGTGAGAGAAAGGTGAGTCGATCATCTGGATCCAGAACCATCCACCATGAAGGCTCATAAGTATTTATTCCTCCACAATAGAATCAGCAAGGTGATCGTTTTCTTTCTCCTTGTTTCTGAAGATGTTCAGCTTTGTTAACTTTTGCAGCTGCTCGAGGAGGCACTTACACCTCCTGTAAGCCATGGTCTTGCAACTCTTTGCCAAGCGTTTGCACTGACCATCACCATGGTGTATCCTCTACAGCAGCAGTCACACAGACCCTGGGAAGTGCTATGGCCCAGGCGTTCTGCTGCTTTACAGAGCAGGACTTTTATAAAAAGCACGCACAGCATGAAGGAGGAAGCAGATGCAGACTCTCTGTGCACAATCCTCTCCAGTTCCTGGCATATGGTGGATGATTAAAAAAAATGGATCTGAATAGTGTGAAAATCTATTCATCCTGTATCATAGAGAATGAATTATTTCCTTTTGGTCATATGTTGTGTGTTGTCCTGGCTGCACCCACCTATGCTGGTATGGAGGAATGTTTTAGACTTGCAGGCTGATCAGAACAGCCCTCTCTGTTGGCTTTCTGCATGACACAAACTATAGATTTTAATTCAATCTCTTTTTTTTTTTTTTCCAAAGCATAATTTCTGATTGTGCTTGTACCTTTGATGAAAGGAATCCAACTGGATTTATGGAAACAAAAGGGCAGAAAATCCAACACAACTGTAAGTAAATATGCTGTCCCAGTGGCTTATTGCTGCATATGTCGGAAAACTGTCTTTATCCACAGTCTGGTATTTTCTATCTTCGGCCTCCAGCTGCTGTCTTTTGCTATATTAGTGGCTGCTAAGGTCAGAAATCTTCCCTGCATATAAGTGCCTGTCCTTGCCCTGAGACGGATGCGGGGGCCATGGAGCTTGCTGTGAGTGTTGTCCCAGGGGATGTGCCCCCACCTCATATCAGAGGGCAATGCAACCCTGTATGAGCAGACAGGAAATTTGTGGCCATGTTCCCCTCTGCTCCCCTGCCCCACAGCTTCTCTCCTGGTCCCCAGGCCATGAGGAAGCCACCCACAGCTGGGGGAGCACAGGATAGCCCAGCACCCTCCTAGGCATGTTTCAGCTCTCGTGGGGCAAGCAGGGCTCAGCAGAGTGGGCTCCATTCTCCTCGGTCCTCTCCCATTCCCTGTAAGTTGGCACCAGCTCAAGTCATCTGCAAAGCGTTTCTTTGATAAACTAAATAGTTTGACTTCCATTTAATCTCTCAGGCTTCTGGGAATCACTTTTGTAGCTCTTCCCTGAAACTGCTTGAATTTGCTAACAGAGCTTTTAAAGCCCAGGCACCAGACCAGGACAGACACTGTACATTTGTGGGAGGGAGAGGTGGAAAACCATGTTCAAATCAAGTTCAAATGTTTTATCCTAAATATTTAATTTTCATAAGTTTCGTTGGCTTGTGCAAGAGCTCTTGCTACCTAATACTGAAAGTTTTTTAGAGTGTTGCCAAGTCTTCAGTCTTTGCTAATCTCCCAAGGATTCAGGCATATTGCCTACACACGATATACTGCCTCAAAACACATCAGCAAGGGAAGCAGTTAATGACATCTAATGAACTTTCCCTCCACTACAGTAAAATAACAGCTGCCCCTTTTAAATATTATAAGTGCTTCTCTTTGCTGAATGATAGCAGATTTGGAGGAAACCAACAATCTAATGGCTTATCTCTATTCATAGATTATTACTGCAATGCTTTCAAAGCTATAAGCTTTCTTAGGCTTTGCTTCTCTAAAACAAGTTGAAGCCAGGGAGTGTGTGTTTGTCTCTGCACAGAATCCAGCACCTTCACAATGCTGTGGTGGCTGTGGGTTTGGCTTCCGCAGCCTGCAGGACCCCTCAGTTTTGCTGGACCTCGAACTTCTCTGGAGTCACCCCAGGCTGGCACTTGCAGGCAGGGTGACCCCATCTGCCCCAGCAGAACTGCTTGATGGGAAGCATCTACTCGGCTGCATCCCTGTGCTAGCATCACCTGGCTGTCCTCCTTCCCCTCCCCATCACTCACGCTGCAGTTAGAGTCACCTTCAAACCAAAAGAGGTTTGAGCTTTAGAAGAAGAGAGAAAGACTTCATTTACGGCCATACACTAGCAGAGCTGGGCTTTCAGAAAAGAAAAAAAAAAGTAATCACAAAATGTAGATCAGCCGCGGGGAGTTATGCCTGAAGTTATGTCTGAAGACACCAAGCAGGGTACTAAATAAGGTCTAAACCCGTGGGAAGAAGCATCTGCTTGTTGCCTGTTGTGCAGACAGCACTGAGCACTGGCCAGATAGAGAATAGCCTTGTGCACAGCTGAGAAGCCTATTGCTTCCCAAAGGCTGCTGCTTCTGTGCTCATACAACAGCCACCGAGATGTCTGACCTGTGAAAGGCCTGCTTCCTCCATTCTATCTGCAATTGCAATAGCTCTGGTTACTGTAGCCTCACAAAAATAAATAAATAATAAAAAACATACATATATATCCCACAATCACAATTTTTCTTCATCTCCATAGATTTAGAAGACTATTTGTAGGGAAAAGGGTGCATACAAACAGATATGTGTGTATAAATGTATGTATCTCCAGCTACATATGCATACACACAAAGATATTTTTTTCCATTGAATACATCCCCTATACAGCCTAATTATGGAGAAGACTTATTAGCACAGAGTCACATGTTCATTGCTGAAGTCAGTCACAAGGCACCAGCGAAGTGTAGAAAGTAAAAGAAACAAATAAATATACACTCTTTTTCTTTCCTATTTAATAGAGATTGCAAGTGTATTTAAACTGTTCAAACTACTCCCACAAATTCAAAGCAGCAGTGTAGATATGATTGTGCTGTGAAGTAAGGCATAAAACTTCAAAATAAGTATGTATAATAATTTCAGAAACCCACTTTTCCTTTTGTAGACTATACATAATAACAGGCTTCTGTCCAATTTCCATTTTAGTGGATACTGGGGAGGTAAGGGGAAATGTTTATTTTAGCTACTGGGCAAATCAACACCATTTTAACTCAAAACACAGAGCCTCTGAGTTATCAATTCAGCAGTGGCCCAGCACCTGCCAGAGCTGGGATCTGCACAGGATGCCTGGAGCCCCTGCAAGTTTTGGCTGTGACCATGGGAGAACCAGCACTGTGTGGATAAAGCCTTTTGACTCACACCTTTTGAAGGTTTTTAAATCTAAACTGCTTGAAAAGGTTCTGAAAATCAGGTGACCAGGGTGAAACTGTTCTCAGAGGGCAGTTGTCCTTCCTTTTTCAATAGGTTGATCACAAATGTAACAGCATATGATTCATTTTAGACCCCATGAAGCCTGTACAGCTCTCTTCATTATTGCTCTTATCATTATTTTCACAGGCTATGGACTGGACCTGAAGTTTCTGAGACCTCGGTGTAACATGACAGAATTACAGTACAGCTTTTCAGGCTACATTTATACTGGAAGAAATATTCCATGTTTATTCGGGAATGGCCCACAATGGGTTTGAACTCCTACTCAAATGTTGAGCAGGAGCATGGGCCGAGGCCATGGGCCAAGCACACAGTCCCACAGAGGAACAGTGCAGTCTTGCCTCCTGCTCCAGGCTGGGCTTGTAAATCCTTTCCTTCAAACAAGGTGAGGTAGAGAGGGGCCTGAGTTGTGCAGAATGGTTTTGGGTGTTGTCCCATAATCTCTGGATAATCTTGCATGACTGTTTGGTAAAAAGTCATTGCCAGTTGCCTGCTTTGCCCCTCTGCCAGAGGTCACCACTGTCCCAGAGTCAACAAGACGGCATCTCTTTCCATGGCATCCTGTACCTGAGCACAAATCACTGAAGGAGCTGCTTCAAAGACACTGGATGGTGCCCACAGACCATGTTGACCTCTGCCAGCCCTGCCATGGGAGAAGCAGATGCATAGGAGATCTGGAGTTAGCTCTGAGGACCACGGGCATCTTCAGCCATCACATCAAGGTTCACTTCTGAGAAGTGGGACTATCCATCCCAGGTACAGTGCAGATGAGTACTCTACCTTGTAGCTCCAGTTTCGCATGATATCTGCTTTGATTTGTTATTGTCAGTGCAAAGTAACAAGGAAGCTACCTACATTGGCTCTGCCCTCTCTCTTCCTTTTGTGCTCGTGGCTTTTCTAGCAGTAGCTGCCTGTTTGTGGTTTCCAGCATTCAAAGAAGAAATTACACACCTGGGCACGATGTGAAATCTCTCTCACCACCATCTTTTTCGCTGCATTTATCCCTACGAATATAAATTGCTAAAAGAGCAGATGGCCTGGATATATAAACTTTATTATGGGTAACAGAAGAGGGGCTGTAGCAGATGAGAACATGCAGTGCTCATGTTTTCCTAAACAGCCCAGTGGTATCTTTAAAGCAGGAAGAGGGAGGTCTGGTTTGCAGTGGGATCACCAAGACAGCCCGGAGTTTCAGATGTAATTCGCACCATCAGGCACAGCATATAGTAATCCTCCTTGATGATGTTTTATGCCTTGGAATCAGTTCTGCCTGTTCTGATTCTGGTCTGTGAATAATGGGAGGCAGCACTACCAGAGGAGAAAGGATAACCTGTGCTGTTAACTCTGCTGTTTTGGTAGTTCTTTCCTATCTTATTCTGTTTTCTTTTCTCTTGTCAAGCCCATTTCTTTTTTCTTTTGTCAGAGCAGTTTGTGAAATATAAAGAAAAAACACTGTCATGTTCCCCTCTCCAGTTGTCTCCTCTGTGTGTGCATGCACCAAGAGCGCGTGTGTTGTGTTCAAGGACTGCTAAATGTCACACAGCTGAACCAGAGCACTTCGGCCACGTGATGCTGACAAGCTGCATTCATGCATAGCACATGCCTTTCCTTAGTTCAAAACAGATGTCGTTTCCCTTGAAAGATCCTTTTCTGGACCCCCTGAAAAAAGAGTTTGGTAATTTTATTTTATTTTTTATAGCTTCAGGTTAATAAGTATGTTCCCAAGCTGAATGGAAGACATGAAAGACAGCAACTAGATGCTTCTGAGTTATTGATCTCCTTTATCTCCAAAATAAATTATGTTAAGTAGATGCTCTTAGGGCTGGCTTTTATGAGAAACACTGCAGTGGCTACGTTTCCCTTTTCTATCATGCAGAGGCCCTGCAGCTGAATCCTACTTAGGACTGTGGATGTCATTTTTTCTCATGACTATGCAATGTTCCCGATGCCCAGCATACTTCTTACAATGTTATTCAGCAGAACATGGTAATTAAAAAAAAATCATATGTGTCATGGCTTGCCTGGCTGCATGCCAGAGTTGGTTTGAACTCCCCCATACAGACAGAAATGACCCTCAGAAAATGATTACCCATCACAGTTGTGGTGAACCACACTGCTGGGTGACTGAGAGGACATTAAAGGAAAAATGTACTTTTAAATGCATGACAGGAAAACTGGTAGAGAGACAGAATTGTCATCTGTTTGCTTTGTGTGCAACGCTTTTTACGCTGAGAAGGAAGGTTAGACTTGAGCAAGCATGAAGCAGAAAAAAAGAAATTTATCAACCAAAATGCTTGCGTGACTATTAGTATGCCTGGGGAAAAAAGCCATTTTCCAACAGATGAAATTAGTACTGCATCTTTAGTACATATTTCACTTTGCCTTAAAAGGAAACAGGTACTGTTTTGAATTAAATGAGATGTTTGCAGAATTATATGCATGTGTTTCATTTGTATGGGTTTAACAACAGAAAGAATTGGGGGAGAGAATGGGGAGGTAAATATATTTCTGGCTGCCAATACTTATGCTTCTAGGTAATTTTAAGAAACGGGCTTTATAGTTGCTCTGTGTGCTATAAAGTTCCTTCTTCTCCCATTTAGAAATTCCCTTTGTAACACATGACCACGAAAGGCTCTTCTACATCTCTCCTCTAGCTCAGTAAAATTGCAGTCTGTAATAAAGCTCAGTCCCTTTTTGTTTCAAATCATTGCTGTGATCAGTCACGCGGATTTGTTTGCTGGACTGACCAGATGTGGACATCACACTGCAGGAAATCCAGAAACCTGCAGTGTGGTGAGCATGGCTGCATGTCCCTGCCTGGTGTGCAGCTGCAAGGGGATAAGGTAAACACGAAGGTTGTGCTCTGGCCTCACCTTTGTTTTGGTCCTGCCAAATAACCTTGGTTATGTCCATCCTCTTTCTCTCCTCACGCCTGTGTCACCGGTTTAGCACACAAGCTCTGCGGAGAGCTGTGCTGCATCCTGTGTCACTGCTGTTGTGCAAAGCATGAAGACTTGTAGAAGCAAGCAATCTCCAAGGGTTTAAGTGTCTCTGATAAAGTCCCAGTTTGCATCTGATGACCACTGTCCCTCTGCTCTGCTCCTGTCCTCATCTCTGCCCATTCACCACCACCTTCTCCAGGCATGCAGGCAGCAGCTGAATGGCCATGGCTGAAGGTGCTAATTTTAATGACAGAGAACTGCACCTAAAACAGGAGAGAGTGAGCAGAGGGATTATTTTCCCCTGTTACTGATCCTAAAATATTTAGGATCATAAATATAATAAATATTTTAGGATCAGTTCAACAGCAGCCTGGTTCATCAGCTGTGCCCAGGTTTGAGAGCAATGGAGCCATCCCATGCTGCACCCACAGACCATCTTTGTGGGTCAGCTGATTTGCCCTCTTCACAAGAAACCCAGAGACCTGCTGTAACGCTTTTAATTAACTTTCTGTGCTCAGAAAGCCTCAGTTGGCTTTGAAGGAAATAGGTCAGTTTACACAAGTAATGAATTTGGCCCTAAGAACATAAACAGTTATCTCTAAAATGTCGGTCTTCAGTCATTTCTTTGGACATGTCTTCACAGTGAACCAGACAACACTAGAAAAGATCTCAGCCTTTTGAATGTCAGTGTGGGTGATGAATTAATTATCAGGAATTGTACAAGCTTTTGTTAAGCATAAAAGATTATTTACAGCAAGCTATTTTAGGTTTGAGCCGCAATGGGAACAGTCTGACTCACCTACACTGCCTCCTATTAAATCAATCCAAGTAACTAACATGGTCATCACCTTTGTAGATGTTTTATGTGGAGGAGGAATACTTTTTAAAACTTGGCAACAGCAGTTATTAGCTGAGAATATGATCCTTCCAGCAGTGTTTGTGTACTGAATTTATTAAGGTTATTTTAAACTTGGATGACATCTTCGGCATCCTCCACTGTATATTATGGCTGCCCCTATCAAGGAACGCAGCTGGATTTCTCATCCTGGTCTTCAAGTCATGGTGTCTCTGTACAACAAAATCAATAAACTGAAATGGACTTACGATAAAGCTGTATTCACATGGTATACACAATTTAAAGTATCATCTTTTTTTTTTTGGTGCCATTTTCAAAGGCCTTAGCGAAATGAAAGTCATTACTTCAGAAGAGTAAGAGAGATGATTTTGCAGCATTGCTTGAAGCTTTTGAGTTTCACATGCCAGGAAAAATGATAGGGGACATTTAGTCAAGGTGTAACTTTGACTGGTCCCTGCCTCCTATAGATACTGAATAAGGGGGCCTTAAGAACAACCTGCCCTGTTGTTTGCCTGCACTTCCACTTGCAAGGGAAGGCACCCAGGGGGAGAAGGCTGCTGCAGCTCCTGCAGCCTCCACCCTGCTCAGCCACCGCTTGTGCTGATGTGCTGCCCTCTCCATCACTGTGACTGGGCTCTGCTCCAACCTGTCACCAAAACCAGTTAAACAGGCACAAATAAAGAGATTAAAAAAACAACCAAAAAAAAAAAACAAAACAACAACAAAAAAAAAAAAACTCTCAAACCATGAACACTTCCTCTCCTTTCTGCCGTTTTTTTTTTTTTTTTTTTTTTTGTAAGCTCAGGTTGAAGAATCCGTCCAATTGCAAAGTTAGATGCAGGTAAACAACAAGCTGCAGTCAGCTAGTAAGGCAGCTTTAGCTGCTGTGTTGTTGTTTTCTCACTGAGGGAAAAACATGCAAGCACTTACAGTAGCTGACTACCAAATCCAAAGAGAAAGAAGGAGCTTCTTCACAGCTATTGTGCCCTTCTGGGGGAGTGCAAAGCGTATTTGCTTTGTGGGGAGGGTAGAAGCTGGGGAGGTGACAGACACGAGAAAGTTATCTTCCTGAATGTGTCAGGAGAGCTTTCTTTGTAGAAAAGAGTAAGACATGCTATAGGGGGAGGAGCACATACCAGGACTCTGGCAGAAGAGGATCAGTCATGCAGATGGGCCGTAACTGGGAAGTGTGGGCACAGAGGAATGAAAAGGAAGCTTGCCCCTGCAAAGTGTGTGAACTAGTGGGTTCAGTAAATTTATGTCTGGCACTCACCTTTGGGGGAGGAAATGAATTACCAACAACAGCAACAACAGCAAAATGTCATAACAACTCCATTCGCAGGACCACAGAAGTGACAGCCATGTCTAAGATGTAGCTGTGGCTGTGTTTGTAACTGGGGGGCAGTGCTGGTTGAGAGACCAGCTGTGCTGCCACAGGAGCTGCACACATCAGGTACTTTCGAGGATTTGAGGTGAGGTTAATGTGCATATTGATGCTGTTCAGAGAGATACCATCCCTTGGCTGCTGACTGGAGATCCAGGGAATGCCCTTGTGAGGGCTCAGAGCCAGAAAACTTGGCCAAGAGCCTAACTGTGGCAAAAACTCCTTGAGCTTCAGAAAATGGCTGGAAAGGCTTTTTCCTAGAGCCTCAACCAGTTGTGGTGATGGTCATCTGAAACTGCTGTGAAGAGCATCCCCTCAGGCAGCTGCTCTTGCTGTATCTCAGTGCAGCATGACTCTGGGCCTGCTGCAGCCCACAGAGAGGTTCTGCAGCTGCAGGTGGAGAAGGACCATGTGGTCTCCTGCTTTTCTTGGGTCAAGTAAGGTCCCCATAAAAATGCCAGCAGTGCTGCTGTGCACTTCCTCAAAGGCCAAACCCTCAGGACAGGTGACTTTTTCCTCTGGAAACTTTTACAACTGGGAGTATGAAGGGGAAAGCACATTTTGGGACAGAGCTTGATGAGTTCAATTGATTCAGAAAGTGCAGAGAAACAAATAAAACATTAAGGACCTGTTACATTGTGACAGCCAGGATAGACAATAGGAAAAATCTATCAATTTATTGATTGACATGGAGGAACTTTATTAATTACACTTACTACCATGACAATCACGGGCCAAAGCTAAACCTGTTTTTTGAGATCTCCAGGCTGACTCCTGGTACCTGACTCCTGGACGTGATTCCAGTCGCAGAAACAGCTGACCTTGCAAAGCAGCTGGCACAACCAGGTGCACAAGAAGTGATGCTGAGACCCCTATTTGAGGAAAGCCCTTCTGCTGAATTTATGAGGGACTTTTAGTGACTGTCCCCTTGATGTGAAGCTGTGCTCCAGCTCACTCCCTGCAGACGACATGGGAATCAAGCAAAACAAATATAGCAATGTCCTACCGAATCTGCAGGAGGCATGAAGCCACAGCTCTGGGAAGTAAACAATCTCACGCATCGCAGTGGGATTATTACCTCCTCAGTATAGAGCTAACAACTCAAGTAGGACCGTGATGAAGTATTTTGCTTTTGATCACTTAAAAGATGAATCCATCTTATCCCATGGTATCGAACCACCTCTCGTGTCTGCAGGTGCTTGCAAGCCCAGCTGCACAAACTTGCATCTTCACACCAAGCAATTTAGATGTAATTGTATCTCATCAAGGAGAAAATCAGTAGCACTCTGCAAACTGAGAATGTGGGCAGTATTAAATATGTCGCAGTTCATATCAGGATAAACAATGTGCAGGCTATGGAGAGAGATTTTCCACAGGGGTTTCTTTCTCACTCCTCTATTTTTTTTCTCTTTAATCAGCATTTTCATTGAATACAGCACAGAAATCCTGTGGCATATTTGCTAAATTTAGGCTTTTGCAGCAGAAGACGTGCATGGTCCTGAGTAGGAAGAGTCAGGAGGTGGTTAGGTGGCACATGCAATAGTCACAGGTGGCTATTAATACCTGGAGCCCAGGTCTTTCCTCATTTGAACAACAGCAATACTAGGAGCGAGCTGGTGCTAAGCATTTCTTCTGAAGTCATCTAATGGGAAAACAGTACTGGGGAAACAGGGATTTATTTTTTTGTTTGTTTTTGCATCTATTTATGAGAGGGCAGAACAGGTGGCTGCAGGACTGGATGCATGGTAGAGTGGGCAAGGGTATGGGGGAGCATGGGGCAGGGGGTAGGTATCAGTAGCCTTCAGGGCGTATGCAGCTTCAGGGCTGGGTCCTGAGTGTGGGTCTGTGAGATGAAAACCTCTGGACAATAAAATTAAGAGAGTCATTTAAAAAGTGAATGTAAAGGTAAATAAACCTAGATGTGGTTGCAGATTTGATGAGTACTTGATGTGACATTTTGTTTGAAGAATATGGAAAATATTAAATATAAAGTGTCAACTAATTTCAGGAGCTTGAGTTTCATTTGAGTTCACATCCTTCTTTTCTTTTGCTCGTTACTGTTTTCTTCAGCTGTCATTAAGGCACCTCTGTGGTCATCCTTTGATTTTTTTTTTTGTCTGCGTTTCACAATAGCAGCTCTTCCCTTTCCTCTGGACTGGCCTTTCTGCCCTGGTCTGTAGCGGTTCTTCATTAAATGGGGGATCACACACACAATTCCTGGATGTAGTTGCATGTGCTTACCACTGCAATCCACTTGCCTGGCCCTGTTCTTTGTCATACTCTGAGGCTCCTAAAATGATTTCTGAACATTCCCCACTCGGCTGTGTGTGAATCAGACCTCAGTGGTTTTCTGAATATGTTTTTCAGCAGCTGAGCCAGAATGTAAATAGAGAATTTTCTCCCTTAATGTGCCCTATTAGAGCATCACTTCTCACAAGTGAAGTTCATAAAGTCCTGGTGCACGCACAGCAAGCACGTGGAGGTGAGTGCCCCACGCTGACAGACGGTGCTCCTGGGATCATGTCTCAGCCAGCCTACAGATGGAGACGCACTAGGAACTCCAGCCAGGATGGTTTTCCAAGCCTGTAGGTCAGGATGCTGTAATATGAAAAAGAAGATTGAAGTGCTATTTAATTATATGCTTTAAATGGGGACAAAGGGAAGGAAATTATTTGAATAGGCCTGTTATTTTGCCATAGTTAATTACTGGTTGCAGATAGGCTAATCAGGCTAGCTAGCAGCTCTGCAGGGTGTGATGCTACACTTTTCCTCCACAGCCTAGACCAGCTCTCAGCTCCATTCAGTTAATGGCAATCGAAAGGCTGATTCAGAGAGGATATTCTATGTGTTGGCTTCACAAACTCCTGGTTGTAATGTGGCTGAGATCACTCTGCTCGGGTGGGGGGGGGGGGAGGGGGGGGGGGGGAGAGAGGAATCGGCAGCTCTCATCCTTCACACTGTTCCAGGCAAAAGGGAAATCTTCCCTTAAATCTTCTTTCTTTAGCTTACCCAGTCCATCAGCTATTATGCATCTCCACAGAGTTCTTTGTAAATCCTGATTCAGCAATTTATTTTTGTGTGTGCTTAAAATTAAGGCTATTTTCATGGGGTATTTGAATTGAGATTTAAGAACTAATCCTCTCTTACGTTCCTCATTAGAGATACTGTGATTTTACCTCCAGTTGCAGACATATTGATTTACACTTGGAAGAGAAAGGGAAAATCAATGACTGCTGGGCAAGCTGCGTGCAGACAAAGTCTGCGAGAGGGAGACTGAAGCAAAGCTGCAGCCATTTTGAGACTCTCAGATCTTCCCCTACACTCAGTCTTGAAAAAAAAAATAAACATACTCATTTAAATCAAGAGGTTTAGTGTTCTCCGGTTGTAAGCCGCACAGCCTACATCACATCTCTGAGAGCCGGATGGCAGTGATCGATGACTAGCCACTTCTGCAAAAGCAGCCTCTGCTGGGATTCACCGTGTTTTCATATTCCACTGGTGAGACACCTGCTATGCTATATATCGATTTCTCTTTTGTTTGTCAAAGGCATAGTTTGTGTATGAGAACTAATCCTCTGATCCCTACAGGAAAAAGAACAAAGATCGTTTGTTTCCAATGAGTGTTAAATGAAAACCCAGTATGCCTAATTAGGCGACTTCTTAGCTCCTTAACCATGCAGCCTTTGCAGCAGCAGTGTGCGTGGGAGCAGGATGATGGCCATGGAGCTGGTTGGACCCTGGCAGGTTCCCATGCTGGGACGATGCACAGCCAGTCTGTTAGCATCCCCATGGGCTGCGGTGCTGTTTCTTGCCTTGCCTGACTGCTGGCCGCTGTCTGCCTGCCTGCCTCTGACGCCTTCACAGAAATAGGATGTGAGCAGCCCATGGGACTCTCTTATCTCCCAGGTACATCATGATCTCTCTTCCAAAAGCTCACGGTTTCTTGTGCTGGCACACAAGTCATCCTTCTCATCAATTTGCTAACCAAAGGAATAGATGCACCAAGTCTGAGAAATCTCCAAGGCCCCGAACACTCTTTATATAGTTAACACAAAAAATGTGGATATTTTGACAAAACCTGCACAGATTTCCTTGTTTCACTTTTGTCAGGTCTCCAGAGCTTTTCTCACATTGAGAGCAAAGTCTTATGCAGTGCCCTGTTCCTTGTTTCTCTCTCCTTTTATCTTGGACTTCTCCTTCGTGTTTTGCTGACTCCTGCAAGAGATCTCTGCTGCTGCTGGGGGTGCTTATTCTCTCTCTCTTCCTTCCTTCCTTCCTTCCTTCCTTCCTTCCTTCCTTCCTT